GGCGCCACGTTGATTGCCCAATCAGCAGTTCATCTCAGTTAAATGTATCAATCAAACTCCGCACGCTACTCTGACATCATACTCAGCTCAGCAGCCTTATTAACGGCCAATATTCACTTATTGCTTTATTTTCATACTAGCTGTCACCCGCGCATAGATAGATAGATAGATAATACTTTATTCGTACACCAAGGTATTACAGATATTATAAAGTAATTAACAACAGATGTAATGTACAAAGGGCGGCCTTATCGCTTAGAGCAATTTCTTCCAGGCAACCTTTGGATGGACTGGATTCATTTTGAACTGGTGACAGGTAAACAGAAGTTAGAGTAATAAATAAGGGCCTAACCTATGAAATATTTATCATACATAAATCCTACTAATCTATATTTGTACATTAATACTATACACACTTACGTTAATATATATACACACCAATTTTCTATTATGAGAGACAAATAATGCTCATACAGCATAGTCTTGAAGGTAGTTACGGATTGTGCACGTCTGATAGAAACCGGCAAGGCATTCCATAAACGTACAGCTTCTGCGGAAAATGATTGTGTAGAAATTGGTAGAATGCCTTGGTAATTCCAATCTGATGCTTTTAGAGGACCTCCGCCATTTCATGTATGTCATGAAGGCATATAAGAATATGGATAATGCAGCTACATATTAGTAAAATAATTTCCAAAATCGGTTCAGTAATTTCAGACATTATCCCCTACATACAAACAAATTTTACCTCTTTATAATATTATTAGAGATTAGGTAGGTAAATAGATAGTATTGATATTATTGCGCCATAGGATTAAATGATTGTTCCAGAATTGTATGAATGTGGAGGACAGCGCCATCTAGTTTCGAGTAAAGTACAACGATTGAGACTGTGATTAATAATTCTGATACGCTAGATGACGCTGCAAGTAACGCTTAACTATACTGGAATATTCTTATTTGTCTGGAACGAACTATCGAATACTAGGGATTATTCTGGTAAATTCGATAGCGCTACAGAAGCGGAGCGTGTTGGCCGTACGAGACAGTATCGTTTTACGACACAGCGAATTAACATCAAATCGAATTTCTAGTGCGACTAACGAGTTATATAGTGATTTCTTCTTTGTAATAGTGAGTGTTTGTAATTACAGGGAAATAAAAGTAATTAACCGACAACTTTTATTTATTGTATACCCCGCTCGTAACAATATACTAGGAAACGGCAGTTTAGAAAAATCAAATAATAGCTTTATTCCTGATAATAATCTAGACCCAAAACAAGTTACAATACTAATTCTATATCATGGATACATTGATAAATAGGGGGGTCAAAAAGGATCAAAATTCCTTTTTGACCCCCATACCTAGAGATAGAGAAGGTCAAAAATGGTTTTCTTAAATCATGATCAATCAAGTCATTAATCAAGATTGAGTACCTACAGACTTTCCTTTTTTTAGTATAATTGTGCATATAACACTAGTTGTATATTTATTTCATAAAGGTAACAATTCAATTATATTACATAACGCTAAATGTGTACAACAAATATTTCCTTAGTGAGAGACTGGTGTCTGCATTGAAATCTAACCGGCGACCTGATTTACGCCATATCGAGCCGAATAATAATAATATATCGCTTCAATGTCATCATCATCATCATCAACAGCCTTTAATAGTCCACTGCTGGACATAAGCCTCTCCTTAGAAAGGAGGTTTTGGCCTACTATACCACGCTGGCCAGACGGGTTGGTAAAGGGTTTGTGTCAAGTTTTCCTTCTCTCTGAAGTGCTGTTGTTCTGCGTAGTTTTCTCCCTTAGTCGTCTCTTACGACACCCACGGGATGAATAGGGGTGGTGACACTCTGTATTCTTAACACACCTAGAGAAGCAAAACTTGACACAAACCCTATACCGACCCGTCTGGCCGTGTGGTATAGTAGACCAAAACCTCCTTTCTAAGGAGAGGCCTATGTCCAGCAGTGGACTATTAAAGGCTGTTACAGGCAATCGTGGTATGGAGAGAAAACATGAAGGGGAGGAGGTATAGGGTAATGGCTGGTGTGTTAGGAAATAGATAAAAAGAGGAAATAGGTAATTTCATTGACATAAGAATTGATTGAAACAGCGTATAATAAAAAAACATTTATATAGGAAACAGGTATATTTACAACTTTATGAAACAAGATTGATAAACATACAATATAACATTATATTTAGTGGTAGGTATTTACTTTTTTACTAAGAATACAAGAACATGGGACACTCATTACTTGCATTCTTATAAACTTTGCTAAGCTTGGGTTCACGAGGGTAGTGCGTTGGATGGAATTCGAACTCACAACCACTTGATTACAAATCTAACGCCTTAACTAATGCGCTACCGGCGTGTTCATGAACATACACTAATTATCGTTTTATAAAACAATTATATACTGAACAGCTGTAATAACATCAACGTTTGGATACGATACGCCGGCGTTTAGTTACAGATAAAACGCAATTGTTTCACAAAACACAAATATCTCAGTCTTTGAAAAGGCAAAAGCAAATCTGAAATCTCCTTACACGAAACCTGTGACGTCAATAAATAACTGTTTTTTTATTCTCTAGTATATGTATTCCATAAAATAACGAAGGTTTTGTACAAATTAGCGATAAGCGTACATAACAATTAACAACACTATACTTAAGTATACAAACCTGCATTTATACTAAGCGCCAAAGAATTCTGCGCCAACGAAGTTAGCGGCAAACAGAATATTGCCCAGGTACGCTCGCAAACAAAAGTACTGAGCATACAAATACATTTTATATACTGCTTGCAAATAGTTATATGCAAACATTAATAACTATTTTTCTGGCCTGCCTCCTTATTACGGAGTTTCGTCTCGGTATTTATAGAAACGCATATAAAGCCAAAAAGCCCAAAATCGATCTAAGTGGCGTGCAATGTGAGAGGCCTATGTCCAGCAGTGGACTGCGATAGGCTGATGATATAAAGCGTACAACAATAATAATAAACGCAAACAAAACAGATGATAAACACAAATAACAACATTAACGGAAACTATAATAATTATGTTCATTACAGTACGTTAGAGCGAGATACACGACCTGCAACGGTCCAACGCATCGGCACACGCGAAGATCCTCCACCCCCCGCCCGAGATGCGCTAAACTTACCCCTTTGATACCTAAAATTGTGTTAATACATAATAAAAAATAATACATCAAAAAAAATATACGATCACAGCACGGGCATACCGGTATGCGAACCCGGACTTTGCGAGTGACCCCGCACTACCCTCAGTCCAATTTTCCTTTCTTTTATCCCGTAACGCTATTATATATTATATAGAAACTATTATATATAAAAAATGGCTATCTGCCTAGAGTTTTCACCGAGTTGAACTAGCTAAATAGTGACAGTGGTTTTGATCTTTTTAGTAAAAGTACCTAATAATATAATTGTTACTATATTTAAATTGATATCACCTATGTATTTACATTGTGGAAGCAATAAAGTATTGAGTATTGAGTATTGAGTACTGGTAGTGCTAGATCCTATTTAACCGTCAGATTTGCTGATAGTGTTGCCTGCACTACTGCAGTGTGAGCTGTGACTCTTGGTTCTGCATGTGTTTCAATTTGTTTTCATCTATTTACATCTTTAGTAATTTAATTAGAATGTAATTTAAGTAGAATATTTCTTGTGTATCTGTGGAAGCTTGTTAATGGTTTTTCAACAACTAAATTACTGATGTACTTGTACTGTAGCTGTAAGCTCCCCAAATAAAATAAAATAAAATGTTTTTTTTTTGTGTAAACATTGAGATACATTTCAAAGCTATAATAATTAGCTAAGCCCGATTGTTTGCTGAGTTTCAACTGTACGCTAATATAATAGATATTAATTTTAAATCCGTGGCTCGATTTAGGAGTACCAATCAAAAGAAATGTATTGTATGTAGATGTGAGAAATATATGCTAATAAGTTTATTTTAATTTTGTATTTTTTTTTTAAGTGGAACATCATCATCATCATCATCAGCCTATCGCAGTCCACTGCTGGACATAGGCCTCTCCCATTGCACGCCACTTAGATCGATTTTGGGCTTCTCGCATCCAGCTTCTGCCAGCCATCTTAAGTGGAACAATATTTTTAAAATTTTACATTGTTTGTTTTTAACCGACTTCAAAAAAAGGAGGAGGTTCTCAATTCGACTGTATTTTTTTAAGTGTCTGTAAGTCCGTACTTACATTGTAACAGTATACTCGCCTATAAATGCCCTAATATATAAAAAATACTACAAACAGAAAGATACGATATGTTTTATAATACAAGAAATTAGTTTAAGACTTACTCTTAGAACTAATTTATTTGATCTATAAATTATAATATACATTCGTATATATATCACATCCATAGTTCCTGTGACCAGAACCTCTTATGGTCCTCTTACTGTCAGGTACCTACATAAGAAAATCCTATAAACTTGACAATAACATTCAATAAATAAATAATCCTGACTAATATTGTGTACCATAATTGTTATCCGTGTGATGACGGATTAAGAATATGGAGTGTTAATACCCTTATTTATCCCATGGGTGTCGTAAGAGCCGACTAAGAGCAAACTACGCAGGGCAACAGCACTGCAAAGAGAAGGAAAACTTGACACAAACCCTATACCAACCCGTCTGGCCAGCGTGGTATTTTGGGCCAAAAATTCCTCTCTAAGAAAAGGCCTATGTCCAGCAGTGGACTATTAAAGGCCGTTGATGTGGCTGTGATGTGAATATTGTAAATGCAAAAGTCAGTATGTTCCCATGTATGAGATGATTCCCAAATTTCCTCATTTAACTCCTAAAACGCCCGGCAACCAGTAATAAACTTGCTTGACTATAACCTAGTGAGACTATATATAAAGCTACTAAGCTACAAATTAAGTCTGGTAATACTATTTTACATGTAATTATTATCTACTGACCCCTAATTACAGAGGTTTCAAGACATTCAAAGCGTTCCCTCTGTATCGGTAGGCTTTAAATTGGCCAATTTTCTGTCCATCTTTATACATGTACTGCTTAAAACAGGTGTCGCAAAAGAAGCCAGGGTCGAAGGGCACTCGGTCGCTGCCGACCACGATCCACTTGGCGCTGAACTCCGCGCAGGTGGTGCAGTACACGGTCTGGTTCTGGCCGATGGCTGTGGAGAAGGGGTAGCTGGAGAAGCGCAAAGGATCGTTGGCGTTGAGCAGGCGGACCTCGGAGAACACGAATACGTGTTCGCAGTTGCCTTGGTGGACGTACACCTGGAAATTAAATGATAAAATATCTTATTGCGCAATGATTTGTCAATTACTGATACTTAATAGGCATAAAAAAACAGTGGCACGAGCTGGTGCAGGCGCACGTGGCCCATGTCGCGCGCGGGGAAGGCAGTAAGGTTACCGGAGACTGACCTCAGGGTAGCCCAGCTTGAGCACGAGCTGGTGCAGGCGCACGTGGCCCATGTCGCGCGCGGGGAAGGCAGTAAGGTTACCGGAGACTGACCTCAGGGTAGCCCAGCTTGAGCACGAGCTGGTGCAGGCGCACGTGGCCCATGTCGCGCGCGGGGAAGGCAGTAAGGTTACCGGAGACTGACCTCAGGGTAGCCCAGCTTGAGCACGAGCTGGTGCAGGCGCACGTGGCCCATGTCGCGCGCGGGGAAGGCAGTAAGGTTACCGGAGACTGACCTCAGGGTAGCCCAGCTTGAGCACGAGCTGGTGCAGGCGCACGTGGCCCATGTCGCGCGCGGGGAAGGCAGTAAGGTTACCGGAGACTGACCTCAGGGTAGCCCAGCTTGAGCACGAGCTGGTGCAGGCGCACGTGGCCCATGTCGCGCGCGGGGAAGGCAGTAAGGTTACCGGAGACTGACCTCAGGGTAGCCCAGCTTGAGCACGAGCTGGTGCAGGCGCACGTGGCCCATGTCGCGCGCGGGGAAGGCAGTAAGGTTACCGGAGACTGACCTCAGGGTAGCCCAGCTTGAGCACGAGCTGGTGCAGGCGCACGTGGCCCATGTCGCGCGCGGGGAAGGCAGTAAGGTTACCGGAGACTGACCTCAGGGTAGCCCAGCTTGAGCACGAGCTGGTGCAGGCGCACGTGGCCCATGTCGCGCGCGGGGAAGGCAGTAAGGTTACCGGAGACTGACCTCAGGGTAGCCCAGCTTGAGCACGAGCTGGTGCAGGCGCACGTGGCCCATGTCGCGCGCGGGGAAGGCAGTAAGGTTACCGGAGACTGACCTCAGGGTAGCCCAGCTTGAGCACGAGCTGGTGCAGGCGCACGTGGCCCATGTCGCGCGCGGGGAAGGCAGTAAGGTTACCGGAGACTGACCTCAGGGTAGCCCAGCTTGAGCACGAGCTGGTGCAGGCGCACGTGGCCCATGTCGCGCGCGGGGAAGGCAGTAAGGTTACCGGAGACTGACCTCAGGGTAGCCCAGCTTGAGCACGAGCTGGTGCAGGCGCACGTGGCCCATGTCGCGCGCGGGGAAGGCAGTAAGGTTACCGGAGACTGACCTCAGGGTAGCCCAGCTTGAGCACGAGCTGGTGCAGGCGCACGTGGCCCATGTCGCGCGCGGGGAAGGCAGTAAGGTTACCGGAGACTGACCTCAGGGTAGCCCAGCTTGAGCACGAGCTGGTGCAGGCGCACGTGGCCCATGTCGCGCGCGGGGAAGGCAGTAAGGTCACCGGAGACTGACCTCAGGGTAGCCCAGCTTGAGCACGAGCTGGTGCAGGCGCACGTGGCCCATGTCGCGCGCGGGGGAAGGCAGTAAGGTTACCGGAGACTGACCTCAGGGTAGCCCAGCTTGAGCACGAGCTGGTGCAGGCGCACGTGGCCCATGTCGCGCGCGGGGAAGGCAGTAAGGTTACCGGAGACTGACCTCAGGGTAGCCCAGCTTGAGCACGAGCTGGTGCAGGCGCACGTGGCCCATGTCGCGCGCGGGGAAGGCAGTAAGGTTACCGGAGACTGACCTCAGGGTAGCCCAGCTTGAGCACGAGCTGGTGCAGGCGCACGTGGCCCATGTCGCGCGCGGGGAAGGCAGTAAGGTTACCGGAGACTGACCTCAGGGTAGCCCAGCTTGAGCACGAGCTGGTGCAGGCGCACGTGGCCCATGTCGCGCGCGGGGAAGGCAGTAAGGTTACCGGAGACTGACCTCAGGGTAGCCCAGCTTGAGCACGAGCTGGTGCAGGCGCACGTGGCCCATGTCGCGCGCGGGGAAGGCAGTAAGGTTACCGGAGACTGACCTCAGGGTAGCCCAGCTTGAGCACGAGCTGGTGCAGGCGCACGTGGCCCATGTCGCGCGCGGGGAAGGCAGTAAGGTTACCGGAGACTGACCTCAGGGTAGCCCAGCTTGAGCACGAGCTGGTGCAGGCGCACGTGGCCCATGTCGCGCGCGGGGAAGGCAGTAAGGTTACCGGAGACTGACCTCAGGGTAGCCCAGCTTGAGCACGAGCTGGTGCAGGCGCACGTGGCCCATGTCGCGCGCGGGGAAGGCAGTAAGGTTACCGGAGACTGACCTCAGGGTAGCCCAGCTTGAGCACGAGCTGGTGCAGGCGCACGTGGCCCATGTCGCGCGCGGGGAAGGCAGTAAGGTTACCGGAGACTGACCTCAGGGTAGCCCAGCTTGAGCACGAGCTGGTGCAGGCGCACGTGGCCCATGTCGCGCGCGGGGAAGGCAGTAAGGTTACCGGAGACTGACCTCAGGGTAGCCCAGCTTGAGCACGAGCTGGTGCAGGCGCACGTGGCCCATGTCGCGCGCGGGGAAGGCAGTAAGGTTACCGGAGACTGACCTCAGGGTAGCCCAGCTTGAGCACGAGCTGGTGCAGGCGCACGTGGCCCATGTCGCGCGCGGGGAAGGCAGTAAGGTTACCGGAGACTGACCTCAGGGTAGCCCAGCTTGAGCACGAGCTGGTGCAGGCGCACGTGGCCCATGTCGCGCGCGGGGAAGGCAGTAAGGTTACCGGAGACTGACCTCAGGGTAGCCCAGCTTGAGCACGAGCTGGTGCAGGCGCACGTGGCCCATGTCGCGCGCGGGGAAGGCAGTAAGGTTACCGGAGACTGACCTCAGGGTAGCCCAGCTTGAGCACGAGCTGGTGCAGGCGCACGTGGCCCATGTCGCGCGCGGGGAAGGCAGTAAGGTTACCGGAGACTGACCTCAGGGTAGCCCAGCTTGAGCACGAGCTGGTGCAGGCGCACGTGGCCCATGTCGCGCGCGGGGAAGGCAGTAAGGTTACCGGAGACTGACCTCAGGGTAGCCCAGCTTGAGCACGAGCTGGTGCAGGCGCACGTGGCCCATGTCGCGCGCGGGGAAGTCGCCGATCTGGCGCGCGCGCGCCCACTCGCGTATGGGCGCGCTGTAGTCCACGCAGCCCTCGCGCGTGTCCACGTAGAACACGTTGTTGATGAACAGGAAGCCCGACGGGAATACTTCCTAAAGACAATTAAACAGTATTCTAATAAACCCAATCCCAAACTAGATAGAGCCAGAACCAGACTGCTGATAAATATACAGTGAATTAAATAATAACGACTTCGGTTGTAACAACTTTTCGGTAACAGTGATGTCAGACTTACGTCCCTTGAATTTAAAGCATACTTTCGTAGGTAATTTATTCGGCAACAGCAACTTCGGATATAACCTCAATTTCGGGTAAAGCGACTTTTTGTTATGAACAATTTGTGACAGATTCCTAGAAATTCTATACGTATATTGCGACTGATACCACTATAAAATAAATTCAGTGTGATATTTCGGTATTCATTAATTTGTCAAGTATAGGTGAGTTATACATTATATTCAAACTCTGGCATCATACTTCCCATAAAAATTAATAAAAATATTTCTGCACTTCAAATATTAGCAAATTGCTCACCTTAGCCTTAGCAGTCGGCAGCATATCGGGATGGTTGGAGACGTCGACCCGGAGGTCGAAGTCGTTGTGGCACACGAAGCGGTCCCGCAGCGCCGTCAGCTTGTGGCGCCCCGTCACCACCACGTCGCAGCAGAACACCGAGTGACGTGACCGGGTCTGCAACATACGTGCTACTCACTGCCTACTTACTCAATCTACACACATACTACTCGCTGTCTAAACATTCAGCCTTCACTACACACTATTCGCTGCCTGAACACTCTGTCTACAACACACACACTACTAACTGCCTACAAACTCAGTCTGCAACACACACACTCTTCACTGCCTAATCACTCTGTCAACAACACACACTACTCACTACTTCCACCCTCAGTCTGCAACACACACACTACTAACTGCCTACAAACTCAGTCTGCAACACACACACTCTTCACTACCTAAACACTCTGTCTACAATACACACACACAATACTCACTACTTCCACCCTCAGTCTGCAACACACACACACTACTAACTGCCTACAAACTCAGTCTGCAACACACACACTCTTCACTATCTAAACACTCTGTCTACAACACACACACACACTACTCACTACTTCCACCCTCAGTCTGTAACACACACGCTACTAACTGCCTACAAACTCAGTCTGCAACACACACACACTATTCACTGCCTAAATACTCTGTCTACAACACACACACACACTACTCACTACTTCCACCCTCAGTCTGCAACACACACACTACTTACTGCCTACAAACTCAGTCTGCAACACACATTACTCACGGCCTTAACACTCAGTCTGCACACACACACTATTTACTGCCTAAGCAATCCGTCTGCAACACATACTACTCACTGCCTAAACACTTAGTCTGCAATACACACACACTACTCACTGCCTACACACTCAGTCTGCAACATTCAACATTTTATTTTTTAACATTTTTTTACACACACACATTTCTAATAAGTTTAGAAAAAAATATATGATACATACATATCTATCCCTGACCATGTTGTATGTGTACGGCCTGTATATCCTGACCCGGTATAGGATGTCCACGCCAGGTTCCAGCTCCTCATCAGTTTCTGTAGATGATGTAGACGGATTTGATTCGTCTGTGTTTTGTTCCTGAGAATAAATATTAAAATACTATATTGTTTTGCATACTTTACTTACATATTATAAATCTTCTTTTAGAGGGGCTTTACTAACTAAAAGAAACTTAACATTAAATAAGTACGATAAAAGAAAGAGCAGATTTTCGCGTAAACTACTGGTAAAAGTAAAACTAAGTTTATATGTATGTACTAAGGTGCATTTCTGTGTATGGTTAAAGGTAGCTGATATGCTGTAACAGTTGATGTTGATGGACTACTGTTGGCTAGACACTACACTACACTACTGTTGGCTGTGGGCTAGACAGCTACACTAACATATTGGGTCCACCAATAGGGACGACCTGGTTTTGACAGCTCATAGCGGCCATGTTTGATGATGGATCTTTGACGTCTCTTGACATTTGTGTTCAGTAAGGTTTGCCATATTATCATGTCACGTTTCACTTTAAACCAACGCTTGGAAATTGTCCAAAATTATTACGCAAATTCGCGTTCTCCTACCGCTACAGTGTGCACATAGTGCTCCTTCTGTGCGCGCTATAAATCGCATAATAACAAAATTTGAAAGTGAAGTCACTCTCCACGATACTGCTGTGCTTGTGAGACAAAGAAATGCCCGTAGTAAAGAGAATATCGCAGCCGTTAGGCCAGTGTTGATGCTAAATCAAATCGATCAGTTCAACGCCGTTCACAAGAGTTGGGGCTCTCTCCAATGACCACCTGGCGTATTTTGCGGTTGGATTTGGGCCTACACCCATACAAAATTGTTTTGGCACAAGAATTGAAGCGATCCGACCATTGTATCTGTCGTGAATTTGCCGATTATGCACTGGAAATTATGGAAGCCGATGACGATTTTCATCGTAAAATCATCTTCTCAGATGAGGCCCATTTCTGGCTCAATGGATTTGTTAATAAACAAAATTGTCGCTATTGGAGTGAGTCAAATCCACGTGTGGTTCATTAATCACCATTGCATCCGCAAAAAATAATAGTTTGGTGCGGTTTATGGTACGGTGGAATCATTGGTCCGTACTTCTTTGAAAGTGATGAAGGAAACCCTGTTACTGTGAATGGCGAGCGCTATAACTCGATGTTAACCGAATATTTCTTTCCGGAATTTAATGATATTCATGCAGACGACCTTTATTTTCAACAAGGCGGTGCACCACCTCACATTACTCGAGTGAACATGGAATTTTTGCGTGGAAAGTTTGGTGAGTCGTTAATTTCGAGAAATGGACCGATCAGTTCGCCACCAAGATCGTGTGACTTAACACCTTTCGACTATTTTCTTTGGGATTACGTTAATCTAAAAGTGTACAGCAATAAACCACCTACAATTCGTGACCTAAAAACCAACATTCGACGAGCCATAGCCGACATACCGGCCGAAATAGTGCACCGCGTCATCGAAAATTGGCGTGAGCGGGTGACCGTCTGCAAAAAGAGCCGCGGCGGTCGTTTGGCCGATATATTATTTAAAACATAAATTGCATAAATTATCTATCAAATAAATCAATCGGATGCATTTTTCATGAAAAAATGTGTTTTATTCAATTTTTAAACCAGGACGTTCTTATTGGTAGACCCCATAGTCCAAATTTAGTAGACCAAGGTACTCACTTGGACACACGGTAACATTCGAACACCTCTGTATTTGAGTTTTTTAATATAAAGTCCTTTGGTATCCTTCTGTACCCGGAGTTTAAACTTCTTATAGGTAACAAGGTTAGGAGGGTCGCTGCTCACGTCTGGCGCAGTAAATTTGTTGTCCAATGTGTTAGAATTGAATATGCCCATCACTGGAACTGAGGTTTGCATCTTTATTTCTTTACCGGTCTTTAATAGCTCTGGGCTGAAAAATAAATTATACTGGAGTGGTCGGTAAAGGCTAGTTATCTCTAAACTGCTAATACATATCATAACACAACCAGTTCTTGCCAATTCTTCTCCATAGGATCTATCTATTAAAAGAGAATTGACCAGGTATGTATTTAAGCTCTACAAAACCATACACAGTGTTGAAGATCGTAACAAGTGCAGAGTTATCCTCCTGTAGATAATGAGGAACATGCCAAAAGGTAGAGGAGGATAGTTGTTTAATCAGGAGGGTACAGTTTCTATTCCCACTCAGTGTAAACATTTGAGGCACTTTTGAATCTGGTATATATTCATGGGCTCCAGGGCTTATATTATGATAGCTGATCCGCAAAACTTAGTTTCATCATCAACAGCTTTAATAGTCCACTGCTGGACATAGGCCTCTCCTCAGAAAGGAGGTTTTGGCTTACTATACCATGCTGGCCTGATAGAAACCCATCAGGCCAGCATGGTATAGGTTATACGGCATTATACGGTTTGTTTCAAGTTTTCCTTCTCTTTGCAGTGCTGTTCTGCATAGTTTGCTCCTTTAGTCGGCTCTTACGACACCCACGTGATGAATAGGGGTGGTTGAACTCCGTATTGTTAATCCGTCAACATATGGACATGACAGAGACAGCTTTGTCTGGTACTCTTCAAAACAAACAAACTCTTCAACTTTTAAATATTACTATAGATTAGAACTAGGCAGTTTTAATAAATGATTGCGAACCAATGTCTAAGGCTTACTTTACACAGCCGCGGAATGGAAGCAACTTTTTGCAGAAATTATACACAGCATAATGAACTTTAAGTCAATTGTTTAAGTATAAAGTAAACACGACCCAGAAAAGGGTCGCGCGTCGTCCGGGGAATCCTTGCACATTATTGAGAATTCCCCTGGCTACATGCCGGCGCCGTCTGTAGAATACGCGGGAAGTGGCGCGAACAGTCGGGACAGTCACAGTAGAGCCACGCAAATTCACGACTTCTAGCGTCATGAGGCGAAATTGATGCTTCTATTCTATTCCGCGGCGATGAAAATGGAGCCATAGGCAAGTAGTTGGTACTTCTGTAGGTTTGATTTATCATGCCATTTACAGAATGTTATTAAGAAATTACAATTAAAAAGTTCTAAGTTTAAAATTACAATTGAATCTCACCTGCAGTAGTTTTCCAAATCCTCAAATTCTTCATCATTAAGATCAAAACCAACAAAGTCTCTCACTTTATTTGTGTAGAACTCTTCCAGTGTAGTATTAGGGCCTGGCTTTCCATAAATAGGTAAATACTGGAACACCTTTGGTAGATTTTTTGTTATTATAGGGCGAGTCACGAGATTACCTTTAGCCATATACATCTGAGGGCCAGTGTCATTGTCATAGAGATTTACACGCTTCCTGTTAAAAACAGGCACATTTGTGATACTAGATATGGGCTCAGCATTACATTCTAATTTTCCATCATTTGTCATTTCTGGTTTTATATGATTATGAGAATTAGAGGGTTCCCCTTTCACATTTGAAACTACATTCGAATGTTCGAGAACAACATTTTCAGAAGTAGATATTTGAGGATCAGTAGGAAAATATTTTGAGCCCGATAAGGTACTTTCCGGAGTTTTTTTATGAGGTGATTTAATGGTCGTTGAGTCATCTGTTTGTAACAGACTTCTTGTTTTCTTTCCTTTACCTTTAGGGGCAGTAATCATTAGTGGCACTTTAAAATTGTCATCTTCCGATTTAGTAGAGTGCGGAGACTTTATCAATTCGGAAAGAGATATATTAAATTCACCGTCTTCTCCATCTGTATTTATCACAATCTCAATTACTTCTGTATTATCATCATCAGTTGTGTTACCTTCTGAAATATTTGTTGAAATTCATTATTGGAAGTTGTACAGTACTTTTTTTATTCTAAACAACTCATGGCTCTCCCATGGCTAGATGGCTAACGTCGATACCATAATGAATGCTGAAATGGCTTAGGGTTAGATATAATCAATACAGGTATAAATTAATAAAAGTACTCTTTTCTACATAAAAAGCAGCCCATACCTTCTCTTTTACAACTGTTAACATATTGCCAAATTACATTGTTATCAATTAAGTGGTTAAATAATTATTTTTTTATGCTGGTAATTTTGTAAAATAAGTTTCTACTGAAGTAGTTGTAGTACAACAAAGAATTACAAGGGGTGGGTTGCCTCTAACCCTCGAACTAGGCATGTGTTTTGAGTCATCAGTGGTTTCACGCTCTGGCCACAAAAGAGGTACAGATTCTTAATACCAAATAACAAACTAGCAGAGGCAGCAGGTATTCAGTGTATTTATTTAATATTTGTATGTAAACAAATGTATAATGTGTATTTGAGAGCTTGTTTAGTGTGGAGGTTTACAGTATTCTTTATTTCCATAATATAAACTTACATGGTATATGGCCTAACATTTGATTTCATGTTTGGGTACAGCAAGATACATGCCATTTAAGTTAATATGTGATAGCATAATAATCACCGCAACAAACTACATTTAGTCTTAAAAAGGCTTTCAGACAATTGCTGTTTCTTTAAAGTTTTTTTTCCTTAATTTTTTGGCAATAAAATAATCTATGAACAATATAAACAGAATGCTTCATTCATCTGCTTTAAGTTCCGTTCACACCGTACCGAAGACAGTTCTAACAAAATATTTGTTTTTGGCGCGAGAAAACTAAAAATCATCTTAAACTAACCCTATCTATCAATTGTAATCACTAGATATTAACTAACCTTCAGATTGAGATATAATTCTCTCGCTCCTATTAGCATGATACGTTGCCGATGAGATATCTTCGGAAAAAATACCAATTTCAGGGGTATCTTGATCCGTATCCTGAGATACACCTGGTATTTCATTTACATTAGACATTTTATTATGTGTATAGTCCACTTTCTTTGCATTAGCACATCACCAACTTCAATGAACAGTCAATGCATAGAATTCGTAAATAACAACAAATAACAGCATGTCAATTGTCAACCAAGCACAGAGTACAGCACAGATTTCTACTACAATGTAGCAAGCAGTGTTGCCAACAGTTAAATTAATTCTTCACCAGATTCAACATCTAAAACCACCAGAAAACCACTAATAAAAACGACACTACTTTAAATTAAAGTCGCTAAATTTTCCGCAAAAAAATTTTTTTTGGTAATTACGAAAGATAAAAATAAGTAAATCCATATCCATACTATCTGTCATTCTTCCATACTAATAATATAAATGCGAAAGTGTGTGTGATTGTCTATCTCTCTGTCTGTCTGTTACCTCTTTACGCTTAAACCGCTGAACTGATTTAGATGAAATTTTGTATAGAGATATTTTAAGTCCCGGGAAAGGAAATAGGATATTTTTATCATGGAATCGTCCTTTAAGAGGTGAAAAGGAGCCCCCCGGAAGTTTGTATTGGGAATCAATAACCGCTGAACCCATTTAGATAAAAAAATGAATTGACAGTACTTTTTACCCAGATAACCGACCGAGCTGCAGGCAAAAGCTTGTTAATAATAAAATTATTTTCCTTTATCATTACGGAATACTATTAATCAATAAATCAACATACACACTGTAAATCAACAAGTCAAGATCAGGAACATAAAAAATGATTCAATAACAATAGTTAAATGAAATAAATAAACAAAAATAATGTTTATTTCATCTACAACTTATACTTAAGATATATACTATTACAACGTTTACTTTAGATTACTATAATATAATAATAATTAAGTAGGTATAAAGTTGTTTGAAAGGTTAGAGTATTTTTAACTATTACTAGTAGTAGTCGCCTCTTTGGCGTAGGCCTCTCCTAACCATTTCCACGTATCACGTTCTCGTATACCTAAACTATACTACTATTTATATATACTGTATACTAAAACCACAGCGTATTCTTAACATAGCAGATAACTTCATTTTATTCCTGTGTTTGTTTTTATTAAATTCATTCTGCTAAATAGTTTCTCGAAAATTTCTAAAAAAAAAGAAAATAGCAAATTAAAGTTGCTAATTCCTTAAACCTCAAATTCCCTTGGGCATCTTTGAAGTGCAATACTGCCAGTATGAGGAAGTTCCTTAACACGTTGGACATTGGTAGACAAGTATAGAACGAGTTTGCAGTGACCATTGGTTTGAATGATATCAGTTTTCATTTCTCTTCCGCTACTGAACTGGATCATCAAACCAAGCGTTGGACCCTGAACTATTTCGCTAGTCTGCTCAGACCCAATATTGTTAACTTTAATTTTTGTCCGGTGCTTTCCGGGGACATCAGAGGTCATTGTGCCTGTCTGAGGATAGCTACCATCCTTGTTTACTTCCTCGAAGTATAACCTACATAATTGACTCTCTTTCAACTCCGGAACTTTTGAATCTCTCTAGCACAAAGCCTACATCATTCCATTACCTAAACTTAAAAATTCTTCTTCTCTGATTCTTCTCTTCTTGAGCACTTCTGTCCAACCTATATCCTTACTTTACTATGTAAAGTTTCTTGAGGTTTGAGTTCACAAATAGTTCTCTTAGTTCGTCTTGCAACATTTGTGAATCTTGAGTCTTTTACAATCTTACCCATGCTACTAAACTACTAGAAAAATTTACTAGCTACTAAAAAGAAATATTTCGCCACTAAAAGGGGAGTCTAAACCACCAGTTTTAGTGGAAAATCCTCTGGGTTGGCAACACTAGTAGTAGTCTAGTAAAGGCGCTTTTTCACAAACAGGTTCGGACCGCGTGCGCTCGTACTAGCTTGCTCGTATGTTGCCCCGAAGTGGTCGCCGGCAGTCTCTTTTTCTTTCAGTTCTTTCTCTTTCTACTGACGTCGCTATTCCACCTACAGGCAATCCTACCTTCTTCCCCCTATCTGTATTATCTCTAAGCTGGGCTTGTTCATTACGGCTTTATGTCACACGAAATCACACGTTTACATTTTGTCCAGCGGTGGACTACTAAAGTCTGTTGATGATGATGATATTATACATTAGATTACATTACATAGTTTATTTTTATATAACTTAATACCGACATTGCCCAAGATACTACTTAATGATAAACGAATCTAATATTCGACTTTAGATTAACGATATTAATCTTTTATTTAACGAGCAAAACCCGGTAATAACCTGCTAGAATTTTTAGAGAAATTTTGTTGGCAACTGGCAATAGCGGTAGTTTGTAAAAAAAAATGTATAAAAAAAAAAAAAAATTACAATTCACACGTGTCACTGTCACTGCTGTCAGATTGATCAAAAAGTTTATGTCATCTGTCATAACAAATATACAGATTTTCGAAAATATTAATTTAAGTTTGTATAATTTATCAATATGTTGACCTTATGGAATTTATTTGAAGCCTCACTGCTTTGCTTGAATGCAGTCTGTGTACTACACGAAGAAAGATTTATGCAAAAAAGTATGATAACCTATAAAATAAATTTATTTTACAAAACCCACTGCACAATAATAAATAATAATACAGACTGTTTTTATTATACGTTAATTACCCAGTACTTACTGTAGTTTGCCAGTGAATGTATTTATCGTAAAATAGAAAGGGTGAGTTCTACATTATTTTGATATTGTTTCAGTGGGCTGGGGAGCTACTGGTCAAAACCAAGGATTTGAGGACCAGTCATCAGTTAAATTCCAGATTCTAAATTTAGTCAGATCCATCAGAACAGTCACTAGAAGTAAGTATCTGACCTATAAAGACCATAAGTCAATTTAATTTAATTTTAATTTAAAAAATGAAATACCTAGTATAAAAAGATACACATTAAGGAACTTATAATCACTGGACTTTAAGATTCCATACAATGGCTATCAATACATAATAATAATAAAATTAATGTTAATTTATTTTCAGTTCCCCTGATCATTCTCAACATATTAACGATAATATTCAAATTATTATTAGGGTAAATGTGAGAGGGGTTATTTAGGCATAAGGAGAGTTCTAACTGCAAGAAACACATACTAGAAGACTTCAAGTGTTTGAACACATTCTGAAATATGCACTTTTATTTTCTTTTTTCTTACTCATTCCAAATTTAGCACACTTATGGAAATGCTGTAGACAATATACAATAATTTTATGTGTACAGTACAGAAGGTTTACTTACGAATATTATAACGCTTAATCTATTTTTTATTTCCTAATATTTGTACGATAGGAAACTGATAAATAAAAATACTTTATAATATCTTGTACTTATTTATGTATGGACGTACTACTAATACTGGTTGTGGGTTCCAATCCTGACCAGTACACTTACGACGTGAACCCACTCCTAACACAAGCATTCAGCTTAGCTGGAGAGTTAACGGGAATACTAGTAATTTCGGTTACTAGGCTTTAAGAAGAAAACAAAATGTACTAATGTAGCGCATTAGGACCAAGATTCCTAAAGTTATCAGAATACATGGAACTAGCGAGACCATACACTGTATCAAAAGAGTTATAATGAAATAGAATATTGTTCGTTCTCCTTTGGACATGACCAATAACTGTGTTTCTAATGTCCAAGCAACTGGTATTCAATATTTCCTTATTTCTTTCTTAGACCAAAACTATCCATTTTTTTTCTTAGAGGTTGCCTGTTTTTATTTGTATAACAATATAACTTTACAAATGTTACACTATGCAACTAGATTGCTGATAAACATACTTAAATTTGGTGGAGTGACGATTTGCGCAAGATAGCTGGCAGGAGATGGGTGCAAGAAGCCCAAAATCGATCTAAGTGGCGTGCAATGGAAGAGGACTATGTCCAGCAGTGGACTGCGATAGGCTGATGATGATGATGATACTTAAATTTCTAGATAAATTACACCCAGGTACAGAACAAATGATCATATGGTAACAAACCCACAACTTCTGGTTTAGCAGTCACGGTCACTAACCAGTAGACAACAGGCCAGTCAAGTAGTGTAGTGGTATGGCCCCTTATTGTATAATGCACTTTATATATAAGGTTTTATTTGTACACTAAATGATAGCCGTGACATCGTTTGCGTGAAATTTGAAAAGCGCTGCCATAGTGGTGCCGACTGCAGTCCATGAGGCCTCGGGTTCGGTTCCCGGACCGTGAAAAAATTTATAGGGTTTTTTCTGAGAGAATAGTTCAACCACCAACAGCCTATAACAGTCCACTGCTGGAGAAAGGAGGTTTTGGCCTACTATACCACGCTGGCCAAACGGGTTGGTATAGGGTTTGTTTCAAGTTTTCCTTCTCTTAGCAGTGCTGTCGTCCTGCGTAGTTTGCTCCCTTAGTCGGCTCTTACGACACCCACGGGATGAATAGGGGTGGTGACATTCCGTATTCTTAATCCGTCACCACACGGACAAGAATAGTTAAAATAAGACGAGAATAGTTCAAGTTACTCTTTATAAAGACAGCTGGTAGTAAAATATTATCAAAAGCGGTCTAGCTGGTTTAGTTAAGATTACCCGGAACAAACAGACTGACAAAAAATATTTAAACTGGTTTTTAGACAGTTATCGTGCAAATAACCGTGTAAGCATGAAAAAACCTATTATTTTAACATTACAAACACACTTCAATTTTATTTATTTGTATGGAAATAATAATTACCACATTTATCGTTACTGTTACTTATATTGCCAGTCTGGCCAGTACTACTGCTGGGGAAGAAGGGTATTGAGATACCCTGATAAAATTAATACCATGAAGGGAGGACCAGATCGGTCTTCATGTGACTCATGTCTGAAGGACACACAACCTGTGGGTTAGTGTCCTTATAACACAAAGGGAGGAACTCAAGACTCAAGAGTCTCAAGAGCATTGAGTTAAAACAACACTAGAGAAGCAAACCTCATTATCACACGTCGAAAAAAGTGTAACCACTTTTGAACTTTGACGACGTAGCTTTGATACCACTAAACATTTGAAAGTAAACATATTTATGTCTCATTTACACGCGAGACAAGAACAATACCATCGCTCGGATTAGACAAAGACAAAGATATAACTTTACGATGGTGGGCCAGTGTTGACTACCGTATGAAATTTTACCCATAACAACTAAGAAACAATTTTTTTTAAAACAATTTTGTAATAAAATAAATGAATTTAAATATTCTAAATAATATATTTCGAATTGAATAGAATAGGTATAAATAATAAAATAACTGGAAATATTTAGTTAAAAGGGTTTATATTCAGTGTAAAATCAAACTGCGCTGTGAAGCATCAGTTTTGTATACAATTGTCTTTTAGACTCTTTTTTATAAGTTTGTGTGGATATTTTACTTTCATGATACAATCTTATTTTTACGTATGTAGAAATAATAGCATTTAATAATAAAAGTGAATGATCAACTTGTACTGATAATTAATAATCCCCAGGGTGTATTGCAAATTTTATTATAATTTAAAAAACAAATAAACGAAAAAAAAAAAAAAAAAATTTATAAAAAAAAATATTTATGTTTATTTACTTTTTTATTTTATATTTTTATTTTTATGATAAACATTTATTATTATTATTATTTTGTACAATTATTATTTAAAATTGATAATAAATTAAGAAAAACAATGAATTAATTTTTTTGTACAAAAGTCTCCAGCACTGCGAGCTTGGCACTTCTGCGTGAACGTACAACGGGTCCCTAAAAAAAGGGATCGGTCCAGCCCTACAACTACCGTTCTTCCTATATTTTATTATTATTGGCAAAATGTTTAAAAACAGTATAAAGCATATTATTTCATAAATTATAAATTCTCCCACTAATGTGGGAAAACCAAAATGATTTTTTAATGGTAACACTGATTCTAAATTACAATTATCAGTGTTTTATTTCAATTATAGCCTTATTTACGATATTATCAATACAAAAACCATAAACTTACACGTGAAAAGTAATTCCGCATGATTTATTAATGTTTTGTGACCTTGAATCGCATTCTTTCACTACGCATTTAGCCATTTTGGCGATTGTTACTGTCATGTGTCGCTATGTTCAACTCGGTTGACGCCACATTGAATAATGAATTGACGTTTGCTACGCATATGCCTGTGGACATATGTGCAGTAGCAACGATTTTAGGCGGTAATTACTCATCTATGTAAGTATTATATCAATGCTCAAGAGAGTCAAGAGTAGAGTTGTGTAGCTCCTGAGTGAGTGATATAAAAGATATATATCATTCACGACGATAAAATCTATCACTCACTCACACTTGCTCCGAATATATCAGTAACTCACTACTAGCTCACTAGATCACTAGCTCAACGACGACGATCTTTGTTTCATGAGCGAGTGAGACTAAAGATAAATGAGTGAGATAGATGATGGTTGAGTTCACGCTAGTTTCTTTATGCAAAATGTACATTTGTATTTAAAAAAAATAGGTTAAAAATGTAGTTTCAAAAACTGAATTTAGGTTTATAAGAAAATAAAGAAAGATTTGTGAGGCGAGAGAGGCTTGAAGTGAGTGTTATACGAGTATACTGAGCTAAACGATCTAGATGAAGAAATGAATTAATTGAGAGACCAATCAATTGAATCGGATCAATGAGCTAGTGAGCTAAAGGAGTTAGTGAGCTAAATGAGCAAGTGAGCTAGATGAGTGATATATATCTTTAGAGCGAAATGATATGTATCAATCTTTTCAGCTCAGTGATACATTTTGCGCATCACTAGTCAAGAGACAAGAGGACAAGAGAGCTAAGCGACTGCCAAGTGAACAATGTTGCCTTTACTAAAAATAAATTTCTAAATAAATCTCTCTAAATAATTAATTTAATAAAGCCATAGTTAAAAGTATTAGTATAGTTAAAAGTTTTCTACAATTTATTATTTTCATTACTATTTGTATTGCAAAACAAAAGTATTTGGTAATAGTAATATAAAAAATAGTAATGTAATAGTAGTATAGTAATAGTATTGTTTTGCAAAACAAAAGTTTTGCAAAACAATACTATTTGTATTGCAAAGTTTAATAAATTGATACAGAATATCGAAAAAATCGGTATGACACTATTGTCAACTCAAACACGAACGTAACTACATTATTATATTATTGACACATTTCGCTGAATTAACAGAGAAAAAACTGAATCTTCCCTTATTAATTAAAAATGGTTGAACAACGTATAAAAATGTGTCCGTTAGTTTTTGAGTTTATAACATTAAAACGAATAGTTTTAAGCTGTTTTATATATATTGTATTGTAAAAATCCCACGGGCACCAACATTAAAAATTTATGTTTATAATTAATGAGTGAATTGTTTACTACAGTACTGGCAGCACTGACTTAAGTGATCTATGAAATTGGCGGCCATATTTTTCAGAGACAAACAAAACGCCGGTCTTTTCCGTTTTGAAGCGTCTGTTGTTTCGACGCCGAAAATTGGTAAATGATGGCAGCAAATAATTATTTCGGGTTTACTCATGGAGGAACCCAATACGGGTAAGTTAAAAAATATAAAAATCTATTAGATATGAGTGTAGTGAGATCATACCAATGAATTATGAAATAGATGTGATCAATGTGCCTTGTGCTCATGTTTGTCCTAATCAAAATGGCGTCTGACGTGTATTGATCGTAAAATTTCCAATGAATTGTGTTTTTTCGTTATAATCACAAGTATGGTACGTTTTGTAGTGCCGCTACGGCAAGTGCAGCATACGGTGGGCAGACTGGGTACGCCGTAGCCCCAGCAGCAACAGCAGCAACTTACGGCACCCAACGTGCCGCTGCCACAGGATACGACACAGCATATCAAGCTGCAGCCGCTACTCAGGGTATGTAGATCCTGCCGAATTTAATTCTGGAGACAGTCAGAACTTATTTGTTTACATAATAAATATTCAAAATAGATAATACAGTGCGTAAGTGGATTGAATTATTTCAACAACTTTATTAGGTTGAGCCAGTCTTATAAGGGCATACAAGGAGTCTGTTAAATGTTCATTAAAGTTCTAAATCGTCTCTTCATCGTAATATGAACAGTGTAAAAAGTATCTTTATTTTTAAGCACTGATAAAACTAATTTCCAAAATAAAATAACGCCATAATTCACTACCTACCTATCATAAGCTGTAGTGTAATGATACATATTATGAATGAATCATTATTAATTTATATCAATGCTACTGGTTATCACTCAGAAATAGTTATCAATAGTGTGTGTGTAAATGGCAACTAAAAATTTTAAAGCAAACAATAGAAACATTAAAAATTCTTTATCACTGTGTATCATCTAAACTAGCTGATTGCCCCCTGAGCCCTTTGTTATTCTTTATAGCATTCAGATGACATACAAAACTTACATACAGACATACAATAATTTCATGATAAATTTGTTATTTGTATTACATTAAACAACATTAAAACAGTTGTCACTGCTCCACCTAGTTCTCTCTATTTTTAAAACACCTCTTGAAGAGTTGAGGTATTTCAACACACAAATTTGCATAACATGAAAATTCCTACAAGCATAGCATTTTCTGAATCTATCTCTTTGTTTACCTATGTATGAAAAATGTTTAAGTTTTGTATCCCGAGTATATTAACAGACACAGACTAGTTTCTTAATTATTGTTTGATGATTCACTTACGAAAGTTAAATAAAACAAGTGTGTATTCAAAATCACAACAGTACATTGCAAATATATAATACTAATAATAAATAGCCTACAAGTGATGTGGTAGAAATTAAGTCAGCCTGGTAACATGTGTGGTTTTACCAGCAGCGGCGCATGCCCACGCCCATGCAGCAGCAGCGGCGGCTTCGGCCTATGACGCGAGCAAGAGTGCGTACTACCAGCAAGCAGCTGCAGCCTACCCTACTGCGGCTCCTCCTCAGCCGCAGCCCACATATGATGCAACTGCTGCTAAACCTGCCTACACCACACCAGCCACTTATGCACAGGTTAGTTGCAGCACTTAATAGTTCACTGAAATGTATATATGAAATGAAATGTATTGTTTGTGTTATACATATGTATATGGCATGCTGTTATAGGAGTAGGATCTGGGATCTTGAAGAAAATGACAATATCACTAATAGTTTCACTTGATGATTTAATTGACACCTATTTGTTTAACCATGTGTTATATATGTCCATCTGACTTTTATATAAGTGGACATGTTAAAAATTGTGCCACGATCACCTGAATTCAAATAATAATAATTCAAGTAGTACCTAGTAGTGTTGTAAACATATTCAACAGAAAGCTATTAAAAAAACATTAGTGTACAAAAAACAACACATTTCATGCCAATGATATGCACAGCCCAAATTACATTGTGACAGGTTCAAGTAGTTCAATTTGATAATTTTTAAATAGTATTTGTTGACAGTTTATTTTACTGTCAAAATGATTAGTCTGTTCCAAAAATTAGTTTTGTTACCAGAAAAGTTTTAAAAACTACAAAGTCCATTGACAGTCACTACATTGATTACTAGACAAGGCGCGAAGTTTTATTGAACTCCATGCAACGCTATCGTATTTTCAATCTAATATGATAGATAACAATATGTGTAAAAATCGTTATTAATGTGAAAACATTAATAAATCATTGATTTGTACATAGTGTAGAAATTTGGAAGTAGACAGACACATTATAAACCACAAGAGTCATAAAGCTATTTTACTAGTAAAGAATCAAACATTCAACATTGACTGTAATGTGATTATATGGTATTAAAGCCCAAAATTTAAACGGTAATCTGCTAGTTTTAGTAATACTTTACTATGAAAATATCTTTTATGACAGTTCTCATGTCAAGGAAAATAATAATAAATATGTAAAAAAATATTAAAATCCTATTAATGCTATGACTAAAAGTGCTGGCAGTACTAATTAGTAAATTTAATGAGCGTTACAATAAGTTCTTTAATTGGTATTTAACTAGTTGTGCATTAATAGCTAATTAAATTATAAAATCGTGAGCTATTAGAGGCATGTCTGTTGCTGTCAAGGCACATATAGTACAAGCTGAAAAAGACTGAGAAGGTGGGAGCAAAGGTTAACAGAGTTAGTTGTGACTAATGCTACTTCAGCACACAGGTATTTAGGCTGTGGTTTTAAATTAGAGATGCCGCTAATAGTGTTTTGGCCGAATGACGAATATTCAGCGGTCTCTTGGCCGAATGACGAATATTCAGCGGTCTCTTGGCCGCAGGGCCGAATAGCCGAATATTCGGCAACATTAAGTACCTTTCGCGGGTTTAAACCTGAATCAGTAAAATGTTGAGCAAATGCAAAATAATTATAAATAATAATATGATAAGTTTTTGGTAAAATTAAAATCTTTGTGAGTAATATTATGCATTATTTTTTTAGTTTTTTACTATTCGGTGTTTGGCCGAATAATTCGGATTAATAGCCGATATGGCCGAATAGGCAATACCGAATGGTTGCCGAATATTCGTGGCATCTCTATTTTAAACTTTTTATAATAATAAAAAAAGATAACTGGAAAGCAATTGTAAATGAATCATAATATCAAAAACAAATGTAAAGTTAAGTTCTGTTTCATTTGTATTCCCTGCACGAATGTATTGTGTACATTAAGACTTCATCAATCATCAACAGCCTGTAATAGTCCACTGCTGGACATAAAGCCTCTCCTTAGAAAGGAGGTTTTGACCTACTGTACCATGCTGGCCAGACGGGTTGGTATAGGGTTAGTGTCAAGTTTTCCTTCTCTCTGCAGTGCTGTTGTTCTGCGTAGTTTTTTCCCTTAGTCGGCTCTTACGACACCCACGGGATGAATAGGGGTGGTGACACTCTGTATTCTGAATCCGCCACCACACGGACTTTAAGACATTAAGATTTATTATTGTATAAAAAAATACACCCCTGCAGTTTGACATCGACTCTATCATAGTCTATGTATAACGGCATAATCATTTTTATTTATTTCTTATTATTTTAAGTCATCAATCACTTTTTAATCATTGGCATGCATATGAATATCAGTACATAATAAAGCAAGCCATCTATCAGTTGGTATACCACGGATAAACTCTTGATGGTTTGTGTGGTATATAATAAAACAAACAAACAAACAAGTTTATTGAACCATCAAAGTTACATTTTGATAAGTGCTCTGCTCCCAAAATAGGTTAATTAATCTGTATCTTAGGAGTCAGTGCCTTCCTTAATTCGAGGTACAATGGTTTTACAATATAAATTATAATAATAGAATGTATGTGTGCGTGTCGGTGAAAATATATATATATATTGATTGATTATATATAATGATAAACTATATGCATGTATGAATCTTATATTAGACACTAAAAAAAAGTATTAGATGTTTATCTTAGTGGGTATGTAACTGATTGTAATGACGTGTTGACAGTACGGCGGGCAGGGCGGCGGCGGAGCTGCGCGGGGCGGCGCCAAGGCGTACGGCGGCGTGTACACCGCCACCACGGCCGCCACCTCCTACCCCACGCAGGCCTACACCGCCACGCCCGCGCAGACCAAGCGTGAGTACACCGGCCCCATACCAGTAAATGACCGTGTCCAAGCTCACATTTTTAAATTTTGTTTTTAGCAGACGATCCCATTAACAAAATGAGTTTCGATGTTATGACTGGCATGTTGGTCTAGTGGTTAGTAACCCCGACTGCTACACCAAAGGCCATGGGTTCGATTCCCATCCAGGACAAATAATTGTGTGATGAGCATAGTCATTTGTTCTGTGTCTGGGTGTACTTCGTCTATAATTTAGAAATATATAAGTATGTTTATCAGCAGTTTGGTTACCATAGTACAGGCTCTGCCTAGATTGGGATCAGACGGCCATGTGTGAGATGTTTGAAAATATTATTTATTATTATTATTTCCACAAACTTAGTGTACTGTTGATTTTTTGTATTTAGATTTGTATTTTAATTTGTGGTCACAGGATAAACGTAAAGAATCTAAGTACTTACTGAAATAATTATTTAGGTATTTATTAAAAATGTTTTATATTTAATTTGTAATATTTGTGTTATAGAAACCACCAACAGAGGCAACACCGCATATGACACTGCTCTCTACAACGCTGCTACTATGTACGTCGCTCAACAAAACAAAACGGGCGGCGGAAGGTAAGGCTACGTCCACATGGCAACACATGGCACGTTTTATTGCCAAATGACTAGTAATCGAATGTGGGAGTATAAGTAAACACAGCAAATTCATTTAAAATATGTAGTAATATTAAAAAAATATTGCATCTTGTGTCAACTGGGTTAGTGTTATTTTGCCACCAAATACATTTTATTAATACGAGGAATACATGTGTAACGGGTTTTTTTAATTTACCTTGTTTCATTGTGTTTTATCTACGTAAAAGCATTTTTCTAGCATTTTATAGGATTTCTAGGACTGAAACTAAATAAAAATCGTGCTGTGTATCGCCGAGTGAACGTAGTCTAAGTGTCACCGCGTACCTAAAATATTGAGATGATATATCATTCACAATACATTTATGTTGCAAAGTTTGAACGAAAGCGACCTTTAATGCTCATCTGTCACTAATCGCACGAGTTAGAGCACCGATATATCCTACATTAGCTTCACCGGTTAAATAGTTTATTATCATACTGGATACCTAGTGTGAGTTTATTTCACATCAACTAGATCATCTCTGTGACCGCGTTCGGTGTTGCTATTGACCCTCACTGAATTCTTCACCGATCGTAACGTCAAAAAAAAACCACACTAGGTTCTCTGTGTCCTTTTAAGAGCTTTCATAATCATACTGTCGAGAGTTAAGGCTTACGATAGTTGTAATAAGGTCCGACTGACGTTTAACGTTGTGTGTGCGCTCACGTGAGAGGCGAGAGGCAGCACAGAGAGTGAGGTGTGGTGTGATGTTGCAGCGGCTGGAAGAACTACAACAAGAGCGGCGTGGGGGCGGGCGCGCGCCGGCCCAAGCCGCCGCCCAAGGCGCAGCAGCTGCACTACTGCGACGTGTGCCGCATCTCCTGCGCAGGGCCTCAGGTAATGTCTGCACATGCTGCTTTACCTATTCTTTCCTTGCTTTTTGCTGATTGAGTCAACTTATCGAAACTCGGACTCGTAGCTCTAGAGCAGGGATTTCCAAATTATTGTGGGTAACTTACCCCTTTTTGAGACCCCTTTTAAAGTATAACAATGATATTTCCTACTAAAATATTAGTTATTTTCATAACTAGTTGGTACACGTAACACAACTAATACAGTATCTTGAAAGTTTCAAACGAGAATTATTAATAAATCCTTATTATAAACACATAATAATATGGTTCGATTTATAAATCTCATCGACCCCCAATTCAGTTTACGTTTATATCGACTCCTGAAACCAATCTCGACCACCAGGAATTCCTGCTCTAGAGGGAAGAAGCACGCCAAGGGTGGTAATCATCTTCATTTTCAGTTGAAAATGTTTATAAACAGCATTAATCATATATCATAGAGTGACTTTTTTTAATCCCTAAATTATTAAAAAATATATAGATCAATACTATATTGATCCATATATTTTTAATAATCCTTTGAATTTTCACCTTAGAATCAGAAGGAGGAACGGTTTTTTTTCTAGTAACCACTCACTTGATGGCAAAAGCAATGAAAGGGTTACTTGAAACTGGTTTTCTGTAAGGCCATGGTATCACTCCAGTCGAATCGGTCCATATGAGCCGAAGAATGACTCTCCCACGCTAGAATTTAATGTAAACCCCAAATCTTTGTGGGTTATGTCATTTATATAGGCATTAACTAAGGAATAATTTCCTAGTAGATGCAGATATGATGTATGTTTAAATAAGTATTTCAATAATCTTAATTATTGATGAAATTTCTGTAAAAATTATCTGCATTTGCATTAGAAAAAGTAGTAAGTGACCTTTTAATAAAACGTTTTCGATCTTGGAGTACATACGTATTTATAATGCGCAATCGGGTCACCGGTGTACGGTCAAAGCGTCAGGGTAGTCCCTGAGGGCATACGTTCCGACGACGCCGGTGACCGGTGCGTGAGACAACGAACGTTGTTTGGGCAGACGTACAAGGAGCACCTGGAGGGGCAGAAGCACAAGAAGAAGGAGGCGGCCGTGAAGCTGGCGGCGGCGGGCGCGGTCATGGCGCTGGCGCGCGGGGCGGGCGGCGGAGCGCTGCGCTGCGAGCTGTGTGACGTCACGTGCACCGGCGCAGACGCGTACGCGGCGCACGTGCGCGGCATCAAGCACCAGAAGGTCGTCAAGCTGCACACCATGCTGGGCAAGCCCATCCCCTCCACCGAGCCCACCAAGCTGGGCCAAGGTAAGCCGCTACTCCTCCACTCTTACATACATACATACTCTCCGCATAGAGAAAGTATTTATTTGTCGGTTAGACCCGATCTGTGCTGACTCCCTCGCCGCGACGCCATATCTGTATAAAATTGCGCGTTTAGTTGGCAGCTAGATTTGCATCGGTCAAATTTTCTCGTTTACTGTTTCGAAGTTCGCTACAGATATGATGTGGAGTGTGTTAAATGGGCCTTTTTTATAATACTGATACAAGAAGCGTCCGAATCGGACCCGACTCCCGTAGAAAAGGCCCGATGTCTGTTGTCATAGAGAGATACCCCGGCGAAAGTGTAACGAGAGAAAATTTGACTTTTCAATCTATCAGCCAAAAAAACGGTGGCCGGAACGCCCGAGATCGCATTCGTGGCGTCCGGGGGACTCAGCACGGTCGCGGGTTCCTCTACCAAAGATCGAACTCAAATCCAAGGCGAGAAAGACAAGGAAGGCGACGACAAGGACGACGAGGGCGACGCCGAGCCCGAGGTGCAGCCCGTCGGCCAAGACTACATCGAGGAGATCCGCGGCGACGACGGCAAGGCGCTCAGCTTCAACTGCAAGCTCTGCGACTGCAAGTTCAACGATCCCAACGCCAAGGAGATGCACATGAAAGGCCGGCGTCACCGTCTGCAGTACAAGAAGAAGGTAAGTGAACCGAACAGTTCTCACCTCCACGCACGTCACCACTCCCTCTGGGCTTTCCCGTGATTACTTAGTAAAAGGTTTGAGGCGCCGTCGAGCCTGGTGCCGTCCGCGGCGCCAAGAGTTCCGCGCGTCGCATGATAACACTTGGCAATGAGGAAATAGCCCACGCTCTCACGGCACCTCCCCTTCCCTCCGTCGGCTACGACTGAGGCTGTGGTGTGTTGCAGGTGCAGCCCGACCTGGAGGTGAAGGTGAAGCCGTCGATGCACCAGCGCAAGCTGGCCGAGGCCAAGGCGCAGCGCCTGCTGGTGCGCGACGAGCTGTGGGCGCGGCGCCGCATGCACGACGTACGTACCGCTCTCTACGTTTACGCCATTACTAACCTCTCACTATTCACACATCTACCAACAAGGTGGACAAGTGTCCTTGTGAACCGTACAGGTCGAAGGTCTACGTTGACAGCTGCCAACCAGTGTCACTAGTTAAACTGCCTAGCTGTTCTCGTGACCGATTACTACGTTATTAGTAATAGCCGCCGCCTATATACTTGGCTCGGTGTGATAGTTCTTATTTAAAAATATAAAATATGAATCTATGTCCATCTATCTTATTACACAGTACACTATCATTGTTTTTTTTCATCAGTTAGTAAAAAAAGTAATGTAGTTCTCCCATTAATCCTTCATAGGTTCACGGCTGAATTTCACTCCTGACAAAAATGATAAATAAATAAAATAATTGTAATTCGATTTAGCGTGTTTTCATGTAAAATCAGCATTATCAGGAAACCATCACAGTCTCGGCAAATGTGTAGATAGGTGGAAGGAAGCCAAATAATGATGCCGATATGTATCTCTTTTCAGGGTATGGAAGAGGATGAGCGTATGTACTGGGAGGGAGGCATGGAGCCTTGGTGGGGACGCGGGCCGGTCCCGCCGCCCATGCACCACCTTCACCATGTATGTATCATTTCTATAAAGACAGACACACAGGTAATCTTAAAATAGAAAAAAAATTATCGATATAGAAAGTTTGACTTGAATCTATAAGTTATTTTCAAAACACATGGAATATGTTAATACGTATAAAAGAAAGTTGGAAGTTATTGTCTTACCGTGATCGCAGGGCATGGGTATGCCTTACGGGCCTGTGGGACGGCGGCCCGAGACTTCGGACGACCGCCACGTGCTGGCCAAGCACGCCGAGATCTACCCGGGCGAGCAGCAGCTGCAGGAGATCCAGCGCGCCGTCAGCCACACGGAGAAGGCGCTCAAGTCGCTCTCCGACGCGCTCGCCGAGCAGGCCAAGCCGAAGGTACCCCTCCACTGCACTCGTTAGCATTGTTTTATCCGACTCTCGTTATACTATTGTTTCGATAACGCTGATATATTATAAACCAGGGCCAGACGCCAGCCAAAACTCCGGCTAAAGCGGATGACAAAAAAGATGATAAACCTGAAGGCAAAGAGGACGGCCGCGATAATCAATTGTGAGTACATAAGTGAATACCCATTTTCGAATCCTCATTCCTCCGTACCGATATAATTATCCGTCGGATATACTGTCGTTAAAGAAGGAATAAGCAAATATATTTAGAGATGATTTGATGCGAGGTGTGCGACCCGGCAGGTTCTCGTTCGCGGCGGAGGGCGAGAGCGGCGCGGCGGAGAGCGGTGCCGGGGGCCGCGCGCTGAAGGGCGTGATGCGCGTGGGGCTGCTGGCCAAGGGGCTGCTGCTCAAGGGCGACCGCGCCGTGCGGCTCGTGGTGCTGTGCCACGACCGGCCCACGGTGACGCTGCTCAAGCGCGTGGCGGGCGAGCTGCCCGCGCACCTGGCGCGCGTGCGCGGCGCGCCCGACGAGCCCAAGTACCGCGTGGAGCTGCTGGCGGCCGAGGGCGCCGTGAGCGTGACGGACGGCGCGGTCACGGTGCGCGTGTCGCTCACGTCGGCCGTCATGCGCGAGCCCGCAGGTGAGGCGCCGCCCGCCGAGGCGATGTCGACGCCGCCAATTTCTCTCTCACCCTCCTTGCGCGTAGAGACGAGCCCGCCCGCGAGGCGCCGAGGCGGACGGTTGAAATTGGTGGTCGAAATCGTCTCCAACCTCCGACCAGGCGGAGGAACGCTCAGAACAAACTATCTAATCTCTGGTGTAACGTACTCCGTTTTGTGTGTTTTCACGAGTATATTTTTGTTTTCCTCTATCATGTGCGATAATAAGATAATTTGTTCGAAGTATTTACCGCCCGCGAGGGCACTGTGTTGAATGCTTATTTTTAGGTGTGAGTAGGGTAAGATGCGGCGAGAAGAAAAGGATTTTTGATCATCTATCACGATATATCACCTGCGCGTTCACTCCGCGGTGGTATATCGCTCTACTGAAACGGAGCAAACATGATTTCCTTTGTTGCCTACTCTTATTGTATCATATATTTATATTTCTAGTTTATTTAAGATTTTATATCACAGGCTATTAGGACTGATGTGATCGTACCAGCTTATTTTTTAATTATAGTTTCAACCTTTAATTGAGCCTAACATAGACAGTGAGATATAATCTAGCGTGCTCTATTACACGTGTCCCGTTGGTTCTGGCGGGCTACCCCGGGTCTGGGCCGAGGCCGGACCAGGCCCGGGGTGGCGCGCCCTCCCCTAATTCTGTGGTAGGATGTACGACTGATGTTTGCCCCGTTTTCGTCGATGTTTTGATGGTCAAACACCCTTTGTGTTGTTGTCGCTAGACGGTGGCGACATAAAGCGAGACGACAAGGATGTGCTCCCGCGCCAGAAGTGTTTGGACGCGTTGGCCGCCCTTCGGCACGCCAAGTGGTTCCAGGTACATTCGCCACAACATTTACATTACTGTGGGCACTCCGACTCGTCGCACGCAACTTCTGCGTTCATTCATTATCGACCGTTCCATTCTAGAACTTCTAATTATAACTATCGATGAAATGTAAATTTTGCGTGCGAGGCCGGAATGCGCACATATAATCTTAGTCACATGTTTATTTCTATTTATCATACAAATCAGTAGATCTTTACTTTAAAAGTAAACGATACGAAGCGATTCCCATGAACATGTGGCTACAAGTGCTGTGTCCCCCCAAAGCTGCGTTTCCACGCACTCGTAGCCGACACTGGGAACGTACACGACAGGAAACGCAGTTTCTCTTTGGTTTTTAACTTGTACATTCGCACATTTATTGCTCTGTTTCTTATTGGATGAACGATGAAAGTTTAAAAGTAACGTAACGAAGTTTAACGAGAGTGGAGCAATAAATGATCGCGGGCCTGCCTCGGGCTCACGCGGCGTGCGTTGCAGGCTAGAGCCGCCACGCTGCAGTCGTGCGTCATCATCATCCGCATCATGCGCGACCTGTGCCGCCGCATCCCCAACTGGACGCCGCTCAACCCCTACGTGAGTACTCTCCTCTCGCCACTTGCTCCAGCCTTGTTTCTACAAGTGAAGGAGCTTAATTAAAATGTAATCATGTCAAAAATAAAGATTCGTGTATGTATTTTTTTAACTATTGAGAAATGTATACAACGTGTATGATCAGTCTGCTGTAGAGGATTAAGATGCTAAGCCAGAGGTTGTGGGTTCGATCTTCACCCAGGGCAATTTGTGTGAGGAACACGAAAATCATACGATCATTTAATCTGTATCTGGGTGTAATTTGTTTATAATACGATGTATTTAAAAAAATATACGTATGTTGATCAGCGATTTGGTTGAAACAGCACAAGTTTAGCTTAGTTTGGGATCAGACGGCTTTGTGAAAAAAAAAGTTAGAAACTGGATAGTTATCGATTATTGCCGAATAATCGCCGATTAGTCGGAACATCTCTAATAAAATATATTTCAGTGCATCATTAACACAAGATACATGCCGAGATGTCGTGTCTTACGGTACTAAAGGCGTTTGTAAAGTCAATTAGCACTCTCTTTAATATCGAGAATCATTTTAGGTAACATGGAGCATGAGCGTTGTATTGAAATACTAAGTAAAATATGAAACGAATCGCCATTCCATGGAGATGGGCAAACAAAGGTTTAGAGATGTATCATACTTGGAGTCAAATTCTTATAGACAGCAGATAAAGTTTAAGTGTGTAAAGCTGGCGAAGAGGTGGGTAACTGACAGTAGCATGCGTGCAGGCGATGGAGCTGCTGGTGTCGGGCGTGATGCAGTCGGCCAGCGCGGCGCTGTCGCCGGGCGAGGCGCTGCGCCGCGTGTGCGAGGCCGTGGCGGGCGGCCTGCTGCTGGAGCACGGGCCCGGCCTCAGGGACCCCTGCGAGAAAGAGCTCGTCGTACGTACACCGCTGTTTACTTGCTCATTAATCATTCAGTAGATGTTTATTGATTCTACCAACATTTTTAGTCAGTTAGATTTCGGTTTAAAGGCATTTATTTCTCAAAAAGGAACGATACAGTTAATTTACATAATGAGATAATCACCTATAATAAATTAAGCATTTTTGTAATCACAACACTCGATTCATTGCCAATGTTCTTTTCTTAGTAGAAAATATATAAAACTCACAAAAATAAATTTTGTAGAAATTATATAAAAAAGCTAACCAGCACATTAATATTAGAAAATTCTATTCTCGTATACTTGCTAATGTACCTGCTCATACATGAGTATGAGTAGGAAAGACTGACAGAATGCTTCTAGTAGTCATACACATTGTGCATAGTGATAAATAAATTCTATATCCACTTCATACATCGTTACAGGACGCCCTGGGCAACTTACCGCCACAGAAACGTGAAGATCTAACCGCTTCCGCGCAACAGTTCCTTCGACAGATCGCCTTCAGACAAATTTACAAGGTGCTTACACTTAACTTTTATCTTATTTATAAATACGAGTCCGGCAGTTTTAAATGAACGTTGAAATCTCGCTCTTCAGGTTCTGGACATGGAGCCGTTACCCAAGTTAAAGCATACGACAGGCCCGTGGAAGTTCCCCCGCAAGCGAAGGCGTTCTAACACTGACACCGAGGCTGACACCCCCAATGGTAACTATAAACCGATATAATCTCCAATTACTCTACTTGATGGGTTGCACCCCAAACACTGACTGGATCGAACACTAATGTTAATATACAATGTATCTTATGCCCGGTTTCTGAAGTTCCCAGTTATACTCTCATTAGCTATTGGTACAATAAAGTTATGTATAGGATAAACGTCGGTTAACTGTCACTGCGTTTCTGAACACGCAATGAACCGTTCAATAACTATCAAACAGATAAGTAGTTCCATAATCTGCCGTTAGATGGGTCTGTTTAAGAGATCAAGTTTAAAATTGGTTTTATTATTTTAATTCAGGATTATTACTAGCTTTATTTACGAGAATATTTTATTCAAGGGTAAATAAGTAAACAAGCATTGTTTTAGTTATAAATTATTAAAATTCGCTATTTATCAGCGGATGAATGGACGACATCGTAGTCATTTTTTTTTTTTTAAATGAACGTCAAACTCATTGATGTCAAAAAAAAGTTTCGTCGAGTTTCATCGTGGTATTATTTTTCTTTGCTTTCACCGTGGTCTTTGCTATCGTTTGTGCTTTATCTTTTCTTATAAAAAATAACTATAATGGAATCTGGAAAACGTAGTAAAAATTTTACTGAGAGAGAGAAGATGCTTCTTATCGAAGTAGCCAAAGAATTTGTGTCTATAATCGACAATAAAAAGACGAATGGAACTTCTGTGGAGGCAAAGAAACAAGCTTGGATGGCGCTGACAAATAAATATAATGCTGTCTCAGAAACTGGCGTTAGGACTGAAAAGCAGTTGCATGCCTTATATGATAATAATAATTAAAATTTAAATTCCTTAATTTAAATTCTTCATCCGTAAACATTTCGAAAGGATTTCTCCTACGTCTTAAGTTTCTAGGTACTGAAATATTAGAAATAAACTCCAATACTTCCAAATCAGACTCTGATGAGCTGCTCGTATTCATTACGTTAATTTTAATATTAAGTTTCACTAACAATTTAATAATAACAGTTATAACCTAAAAGTTTATGTAATTTGCTTGAAGCAAAACGTCAAATAAAGTTATGAAATCGATAAACGGCACACATTGGTCAGTTAAGTTAACCTAAGTTTAAACGGAGTTTATCTTACATTGCGATGTTCAGAAACGCACTTTCTTAGGTTATCGAACCAATAGCGCTAATGAATACATAAACTGCCGTTAAAAGTTCCTCAGAAACCGGGCATTAGTGTTGTAAAATATGTCACATACATTGATCTTAAAAATGAGGTTAATAAAGATATACTTCGATTTTCAAGGTGAAGGTAAGGTGGTCAAGACCGAGGAGAAGATGGATGCGTCTGAAAACACCGCAGCCGCCAAGAAGTAACCGCTCATCGTTTAAATTATGCATAACTCTCCCTCGGTGCACACAAACACGTACCTGTGTGCGGGAAGAGATCAATTGTCATTTCTATAGCGTCGCGTTTCGGGATATATACGAATTTTATTTTACCAAATCCTTGACTTTTAAAATCTAGAACGTAACGCTATAATGCCTTTAACGTAGCGAGTCTCTCCTCGCTTTATGTTTAGTTACTGTGTGCAAATTAATCTCAAATGTTTTATATAATTGTGTATGATTTACGCAGTCACTTCGGTCACACAAAGTCATGGTGATGATCTGTCCAAAATATAAATTAGTACACATAAATATATATAATGCCGCGGTTTACAGTAGTGTTTAATATTAGTTAGGTCTAGACTCTATTCTATATAATGTAAGTAGTGTTAGTGTTACGCGCGAGAGACAGGGATAGTCGAGTCTGCGAGCTGTGAAGGTATTGTCAAAGAGGTGGTTCGCGATTTGGATGATAAGGGCGGTGCCAGTGCGGAGTAAGTTACAGTATTTGACTTTATTCATATTTAGTTCCTCACCCGCCCAGCGCTTGCTGGGCGCCTGCGCCGGCTATACCGGCTCATTTTTTAATATATGATTAACCCCTATTATTACTCAAGTGTATATTTTCATATACATATGTATTTATGTATCTATATTATTTGCTGTCCCTAATGTTGGTCGTTGAGTGTGTAAAGAATTGTATCTCAAGAATTAGTGTTTCGGCCCTGTCCTCAACGGAATCGAATTAAAATAATAAAGCTGAGATACTGCGTCTATATTAGCCTTGTGTTAATTTTTCTTTTCTTATGTTATTGTTATGTAGAAAGAACATTAGGTCTAGGCGTTAAGGACAGCGGTTATATTCTAAGTTTACACATATAGACGTGACACGTTCGTCTATGAGCTCGTGCACGTGCAAGCGATGTCGCGCGACATGATATAACTCATGGATCTAATTGGCTCAGTGCAGCGAGCACGCGACTGACGGCCAGTGGTCGCGAGACTTGCAGCGACCAGTCCCCAGAGGTGGATTCCGACAGCGCAGCGCAACATTTTGTTATCTAAGAGATTCGGTTGTAAACGCCCGTAAATCTTCTCCTTCTTCGAATCCTTTAGATGGCACTAATCCGTTAAACAGAATTTTCCGACAGTAGAAGTTCTAATACTATATCCGTTTCCGCTTTATGTACTCTGCTTCATGGAGCCAAACAATAAGAATGTTAACTAAATTGTGAATTGTTATTGCTCGGTCACTCATCGCCAGTCGCTCGCGCGCTGCACCGTTATCGTAGCCGGAGGTCGCTCGCCATCGCTGGCGCTACACGAGCCCTATATCAGTATGATATACGATTTGTCTACTTCTGTAAGTGTCGCAATAATTATATTATACTTCTCTTTGTTCTCGTTGTTGTTGTTCCAAACGACATACGACGAAACGAGCTAACTAAATATAAACTTTCGATCCAGTATGTAACTTAACGGCACGAATATTTTATAATAAAACATTATTGACGTCTAAAGTTCATATCGCACCATTATATTTAAATTTGGTGTGATGTATTTAATATATTATTTATTATATAAAGCAGGGTTATCTAAAATAACCCTTTAAAGTTTAGATAGATGATAAAAAAATCCGTTTTGGACTAGATTTTGTGAAACCACATTTTTTTATTTTTTGTTCTTTGAAACTGTACTTTGGAGATTACTGTCAATAAAATAATGACAAAAATACCGTGTGTATTCATTTCAACTTATTTCCTTGAAGCAGACACTACACATACTACATACATAAAACCTGTGTCAAAAGAGCAAATTGCATTGCATTTTATGTTCTTAATACTGTCAAGTAATGTCAGCGCAACTGACACTGGCTTGGCCAACAGGGATTTTAATTTTGAAAACAGAACAAAACTAAAATTGTGTATTTGTAGCGACCTGGGCACCCGGGGTCAGTCTCCCCCGCTTGACCACGTTTTTATCTCAATGTTATTCCCGAATGTTAGTGGTCATATTCAGTATAATAACGGAACCGAGAAAAATTTTGAATTTGCACCAGTTGCTAGGTTTGTTGAAGAAATGAAATAATAATTTTTGATTAACATTGATGAAAAATTGCATAATTTTATGAATTGAATTCAATTATCACTGAACTTCACTTTATAAACAGTTCGTATTAGACTCGCAACGGATATTCGGTTACTATTCGGTATTCGGCCTATTCGGCTGCTTTTATTATATTCGGCCGAATACCGAATATCTACATATTATTCGGCCGAATACCGAATACTTAAATAATATATTTTGACATTGAGAAATAATTGGTAAAATGAAAAATTAAAATCGATTGATTACGTATATATTCATATTTTCATTTCTGTTATAATCATTTAAGTAGTCATTGGTGCATAACACAGGTACATAATCATCTTCTGAATTGGAAAAATGGAGGATTCTATGTATTTGAATTATTGTGGTAATCAAAATTTAGAAGGGTAAGGTTCTCATTTCTTTTATAATCATTTATTAAGTAGTCATTGGTACATAAAACAGGTACATAATTTAATTCACGTCTGTACAAGTTTCTGGCGCTAAAATCCAGCCGAATACTTTTGCCTAATATTCGGCTATTCGGTCAGGGGCCTCGCCGAATATTCGGTATACTGCCGAATATACTATTCGTTGCAAGTCTAGTTCGTATAGGTTGTGTGCTGCCGGTGTCTCTTTTCTACTCGGACGCATCGGCCGATGGAGTGGAAGAGAAAGATGCTTGCACGCTCTGCTCCGGTGGAACGTGACAATGAGTGAGAGTATAAGACGTTATCACGTCAATAAAACCAGCACATGATCCAACCGCGTGCGAAGTACTTGCCTTAATACCTTAAATTGTGGCGAGGCATATGCTGCACACAGGCAGTGAGTGATTTCCTTTTTTTCAAGAATTGAATAATGGATTATCATAAAAGCAGCAGCGACTACGTTTCATATTTGTCACCAGTGGAAACAAAGCCAGTGGTGACGACAGTGTCACGGACACTGGTTTGGCCATCATCACGGATTTTAATTTTGATAACACAAAATATTAGTGGAAATTTGTCAGATCAGATCTTGATCCAGAAATGAGAATTTGTCGGTCAATGGTTCAAAAGCGTTTATAGGTGGCCCTGCTGGGTTCAGTCTCTCTAGCGAAAATCTTATTTGCAATTTTTCGCACATTTTTTGTCACAGTTTTAGAAGGCAAAAAATATTTTTCCTACTCCAAATCCTATTATCCTTATTAGAATAAAATGTAAATTGAACCTCCTAAGTGCTACCTAATTAGTCGGTGACTCGACTCTCGACATTGTGTCAATGCTCAACACCTAACTCTCGCTATGAACATTGCAACTCCTCATATATTATATCAACTCCTCTGGGAATGTAGTCTTTGGTATAATGAACGTAATATAATGCTGAATACCTTGCAGGTGACATCTGGGGCGGTATACTATGGGGATCTTGTGTCAACTAGGGTGATTCTGCCTTACATATTATAGAAAACAAATATAGCTCACCTAGGACCCGTAATATTTTTGGCCGTGGTGCTTCACTGTTGAAAAGGTTAAAAGTCCTTAAAAGTCCACTTGACTCTTGTAAACCGTTGTGTAAAAAACGTAATTTGCTGACATTGACCTGCATGTATGTTCTTGAAGTTTCAATCTTTGTTAGGAAATATAATAATTTCTTTAAATTCAAGGGGATCATGTTACTAAATACAGACCAAGAGATCCTACGAAAATAATGATTCCATTTTGTAGAACATCTTTGATGAAAAAGAATGTGTATCACATGTGCATTTCAGTTTTCAATAAACTTCCTAAGAGCCTCAGGGAACTCCCATTTAAATATTTTAAAATTAAGTTAAGTAAATGGCTAGTTGATAAGTGTTTTTATACAATGAAAGAGTTCATGCAATACAAAACTGATGTATATGATCATTTGTAGATTTAATAAATTAGATATAATAATTCAATAAATTTAATAATTTCTAAATTTAATAATTTCTATGTATTTTTTTTTTTTTATATAACATTTTGTTAATTTTATTAGTTAATAGTTATCATTAGTTAATGTTTTGAGTCTCAATAAAAATATTTGCATGCCTAGTACAGGCAGAATATAGCTTGAACATTATACACCTTTATAAAATCTGGTACCACCTGTATTCTCTGCAAATAAATGTTTCTTTCTTTCTTTCTCTTTCTTAATCAGTATAAAAGTACTATCATTTACGTGTTAGTATAAGATATTTATTTATTGTGCTATCGTATACAAACATGACTATTTAACATAACATAAACATACTCGAACATTCGCGCAAGCGCCCTGCGCCGTCTAAACGAAACAGCAGGCGCAGGCATACATTTTTGCCGCGCCGTAGAAAGAAAGGGGTATTCCCCTTCCCCTCCCCCCCATTCCCCTTCATCTCCTACTCTCCATCCGTCTTGCGAATTTTCGATCAGGTCACGTGTCCTGACGCGATTTTAACATTTTTTACCCATTATAAAAAAAGTGTATAACGCCGCTAAAGAAGTTTACACTTCAAAAAAAATGGTTGCGCGAATAGCCCAAAATGGCGGTGGTACGTGAAAATAATTTTGCTTAAATTTATGGTTGGTTGGTTCTAAATTTATGCGAGGTAATGGACTGTATAAGTTCCATTGCAGTCCTTTTTTTTTAAAGTTCAAACAACTTCAAATAATGCTAACAGACCACTAAAAATTTAAAAAATAAAAACCCTATTAAAAGGAAATATAAGTGCGACCCTCAATATAACAGGTAACATTATAATAGTAATAGTCCCTTCTAGTCTGTTTGAAATCTGTGCCAAGTCCGATGCACAATAAGTAATGCAGAGGGTCCTTTTTTTTTACGTGTGGAAACCCCCTTGGGCCCTCACCCCACCGGGGTTTGCGGTGGGGTGGTGCCGTGTGGTTTTAGTCGGACCG